TTCGTACGGCAGCAGAGTTATCGGCGACGGTTTTGCTGGGTGTCCCATCGCCAGTAGAGGACGTGAAGGTGTCAGACTGTACGGCAGCAGCGTTGTCGGCGAAGGTTTGGCTGGGTGTCCCACTGCCTAAGCTTGATAAACGCTGTAAGGCACAATAACCGAAACTGCTGGTTTGGCTGGGTGTCCCACCGCCAGTAGAAGACGTTGTGTGTCGGCTGTGCAGCGACGGATAGACCCTCGAAGTTTGGCTGGGTGCCCCACCGCTTCTGGGAGAAATCTGTCGGCAGCCCTACATTTGAACGCGCATCTCGCCCAGACTTTGCCTCCTGTAAACCAACAAAATCATTTTCCTGACTACCGTTTGCTTATTTATGCCCGTTATAAATTGCATAGCTTGACTTTCTCTCCCTGGCTGGTTGAATCTTCGCTTAATTTCCGTCGCTTTGCTAGAAACCGCCGCTAATATTTATTTGTAGAATTAGAATAGCCCGTAATCAATTATTTTTCTCTGTTTCAGAGCCATTTGGGAACGACTTATTTTATTGATTATTTATTACTCTAATTTATTAACCTTATTTGTTCTCTTTCTAGCACCGACCGAAATTTAAAACCGAATATTATTTTGGCGTACCGTTTCTTAAAGTATTAGATTGTTTATTAAATAAACCAAACGCCAAATACTCCGTTTTTCTACCGTACCGATTTTTGTGTCCTGATATTTGACTACGTGCTAATTTTGTATTTATTTACAGCACCGGAAAACCGCATAGACATTTTAAATCCGTCATAAATAGTAATTGCCCTAACCAATTTTTGTTTTGATTACACCGCTTGTAAATTATTTGTATATTTCTGATTTTAGTTAGTTATCATAATTGTAATTAGAATTTATTTTACTTTTGTTTGTTTCAATTTCCGTTTACCTTATAATAATATACAATAAATTTAGTAAATATATTTCCAGTTGTCTTCATTCTTAACACCGATAAGATTGAAAACTTCCGATCAGTAAAAAGTCTTCCTATCTTTTTGTGACCTACACTGATAAGCTGTTTATTTTAAAAGTAAAATAACACTACACTGAAAGAACTACTCTGATTAAAAGTAAAAGAAATATAACCGACTCCTGGATTTAAACTTTCTTCACTGTAGCTATCCCGAGTACTTACTTTAAACCGAGGGTAGGGTTCACGTGGAGTTTCCCCCACGTAAAAGATAGGGAAACTGGCACCCGAGACAAACCGAAAAAAAAAAGGTTTTAAGCCGGAGTACGTTCCTGTGACGTCACCGCCGGCTGCCAACCACCGCTGCCGATAAATTAGTAGTCAAGGGTCGTCATAAAATTAGGCGTCCAAACAGGGACGTCAGTGACGTCAATAAATATAGTAAAATTAGAATTCGAAATTGTGAATTAAGATTCCGTTTAGAGTTGGTAGTATACCGGGGGCGGCCACAAGTAACGTCAGAACCGAACCGTCACCACCAAAGTAAAGCAAAGTACATTATAATATTTTCAACCCTTGCATCGCTGGGCTACTGTAGTCTCTAGCGTCAGTTGCGTTGTGCTCTGTAACGCAATGCACTCTCTCTCCACGTGGCCCCAGGCGATTTCAAATGCTGAAGTGAACGTTTTTGCGATTGTGTTTACATTAGTTTTTCAAATGTCAAAAATGGCTTACGTCTATAACAACTCGGAGTTGTTGGATACCGTCTTAATTTATGGTATTTTATTAATTAGAACAACAAATTAATTTTATTAATTAATAATAACAACAGCGGCAAAAGCAGTTTTATTTGCTGATATAAAATAGGTATTGTAAAATTTTATTTATTTATTTCTCTTTGTTCATTTTTTATTACACTTTGCCACCCTGCCAGTCGTCGATTGCATGCTTTTCCTTGCACCAGGTCAGGTTTTACAGTGGACAGGTTACCAGTGACATGCAGCCCTATTCTGTAACTCCTAATCGAATAGAAATGTATAAAATAAACCCATCAAATCGGAATTGGGCAACATCGGTATTCTATAACTTATTTCGACGTCTACGTCTTAGATATCGAGATCGGGTCACGCATGCGTTGTTGTGTTAGATGTATCAGTTTGAGTTAAGCATAACCTCGCGACACAACAAATCTTTTTTCCTTTTCGCGTTGTAAATCACAGAATTATAACATATTTGTACGTCTATACGTACGTGTATAAGTATATTTTGTATTTAGTTATCTAATTTGTGCATGGTTTATAATATTCTCTATCAAAGGACTTAGTTTTACCATGAAGTAAAATTTTGTGCAGCGTAATGAAATCTACCATGTAGTTCAGCTGCTCTGTAGAAGTTTTTTTCTTTATTTGAGTCGCAACTGATATCATTAATATTTTTCAGTACTGACCTTCCCGAAAGATTACAGCAAAATGAATATATTTTTAAACTAAACTATACAATCTAGTAGGTAGGTACAATTAAATTTACAGAACATGGGATTTCCTATTAAAACACATCTGCAAGTCAACTGTGCGTATATTCCACTATTTATACCGAAATCTTGTAAAAGGCACATTTATCTTATTTTTACAGTTAATTTGCATAAATGTCACTTGGTTATTAAAGTCTATAATCGCAGAGCAATTTATTGTTGCCATTACGCTAAACCGGCATCGAATCGAGGTCTTTCTCTACGATTTGTTACTTCTACGATTTGAGTTACAGAATACCAATTTTAGGAAACGATCGATGCGATAGATATTGAACTTTACGAATTGCGAACATTTCGACTCGATCTGAGCATTTCGATGCAACTTACAGAATAGGGCTGATTGAGAAGTGTATTTTTAAATCATTTTCGAGCTGCCCTTTTCAACACTTTTTTTACAAAATTGTACCTGTAAGAGTCCCCTGTACATTAAAAAATATATTTTTGGATCTCCCTGTATACATACTAATGTGATGGTTTAAGTTTAACTGTATGGTAAATTTCGAATATACTGAGCTACTCGTGGGGCCGCAGGATTATTATAACCTGATGAGACGAGAAGCATTAGAAATCGTATAGCATCCAAATAATATGAATCGCGAAGAACGCTTTCTTGTGAATAGGACCTGTTTACCTTTCCTATGCAAGGTCCCTTTAGACAAAAAAAAATATCATCTGGGATCCGACACTAGGTACGACAGCTTTTCGTCAGAGAGCATTAAGGTCGCGGACTGTAATAACTTTCTGGTATCATTGAGGTAGGTTGTACTGGGCGCCACATAACTTCACATGAAATGTGTTGAGTACTCTCGATTTTGCCAAGTTACGAAACTCAAAATCATGACACAAACATATGAAGAAAAAAAAGTAATGGTAGAGTGAATGAAATAAAAAAATTGAAGTAGATAAAATTTTAAAACTATTTATTTCAATTCCCGAATTAAGCATCTGGTCATAAAAGAATTGGGTAGACAAAAAAGTATTATATAAAGTATAGTGATAAAATAAAAAAAATGAATGGTTTTAACACAACTATTTTGACAGGTTGTTCTATTATAAACAAAACTGATATAAAATATTAAAACATGGACTAAGAGCGTATATTCATAGTACTATGATCGTGCGTTACATACGTTTTCAAGATATCGTTTCGTAGGTTTGAATAGTTGTAAAATATTTGTATATAAACAAACAAAACAACAACAAAAATTTATTAATATATGAGGCTTATCTGATTATCCGGGGAGTAAAAGAAGATGTTGCTTCTTAGATGACAACAAGGGACTTGGAAACAAAATAGCATCTATCCAGTCCTAGGTTTTATTGACCAGTGTATATCGGTTGCTGCTGGAAAACTGTAGTAGCTGATGACGAACGTTGATTCAAGGCCCACACAATGTGATGACAACGCCCTTATGAGCAACATAGATCCAACTAGTGAATACTTCAGCGAAGCTGGACTTAATAATGAAATACTGGAACTTATTTAACTGATCCTAAAAACCCTAAATAGAACAATTACCTAAATACTATGAACTAAGAACTGCATTTTAGTTGCAACTCACCTTCTGTAGAAGGGTTTAAATTGAGGTAACCAAAATTACTTTCGGATATGAAGTAAATCTTGGAACAAAACAAAACGAAATTTATCCTGGTTGAACCTCTGCACAAAAAAAATTGACACAAAAGCGTGTCGGAAAACTTTTAGTGAGGGAGACTTCTGGATATAGACACATCGACGGTACACAGTATAAGCACTAAAAGGTGGTTTTTCAAATCCCATGAATATGGAAAACCATAAAATTAATCACGATCCACCTATTGCTTTTCACTTCACCAAAACCCGTCCGTCTCTACCAGCTAGATGTTAGTGTCTGAGGAGACACGCAAGCGGCCTCAGTCACTGCAAAACATTTGCTGTCAGTACTGAAGATGTCGACAATGAAGAAGAGTGAAATGTTTTGAAGCATTGGGTACAACCAGTTACAGAGGCCCCTATGGAACGTTTCAGAGAATCACCGTTGCCTGAGAGCAGTTCCGTCTGTAGCAGCTTTAGAACCAAAAAGAATCGAAATGAACATAAGAGTGAGCCTAGAGGTTCTCATAGAGAGTCCGCCTCCACAGAGCCCGATAACAATAAGGGCAGGTCAAAAATTTTAAGTTCGCTACGGGGCGTGAAAGTCTTAAAGCCATTATTTATTTTTAAATATTTTCTTGCAACATTTTTTTAGGATCAATATTTGAAAAATGTACTGATTCAAAATAAAAATTAAATATATTATTTTCTAGTTAAAAAGAGTTACTTCTCCATCATCCCTCAACAGTATATAATCATCATCTACTAAATTATGCCGTCCTGATATGGCACAAAATATACTATTTAGCAGATGATAATCATAAGCGATCTCTATCAAGTAAACTGTTAAAATCTACCCGATTAGTTGTCAATGTAAAATAATTCCATACCTAACCAAATGTCAAAGTTCTTTGAATATGTTATTATTTTCTTACTTTTAGTATATTGCCAGATGGTGAGATCTAATACTGAAACAACTTCAGAAGATAATGAGGTTACTTTAAACACTACAAGATCTACAAATATTAAACAAAACACCTTGGAACATGTAACAAACTTCAGTAGTACGACTGAGGTTTCATCTTTAACTCAAGAACCCATGTCAGCAAATAACTCATCACCAAATACTCCAAATAGTACATCAGCAGAAGATACAACTGAAAATGAAGACTTAATCGAAACTACCAGAAGTACTAGCAATGCCGATACAAATAGCATTGAAATCGAAAATACATCAAATGCAAGCTTAAGTACCGACACTTCGACATCGGAAGACTTTGCAACAATAATAGAAAGTGATGTAGACATTAATACCAACACAACATACCAAGAAGCTGTGAGTAAAGCAGATAATGTAACAAATGTTAATGGGACGAAGAGGATCACCACAAAAGAACCTTATAAGCAACCATTTTCTATGAAACATGCTCTTAGAGACATAGCGTACTATTTGAGAGCATATAAGTTCAACGAATACGACAGAAGATATGAAACAAATGCTGAAACTGCTCCAAGGTAAGCAAAGTTCTGAAAATTTTCACTGTACTTCAAGAAAGGTACTTGATAAAGAATGATTTTACATAAATTCAAAAATGCGTGTCCTTGATGGACTTATTACATCTGTTTTACAAGTTCATGATTATACCACGTCCTTCCAAATTATTAATTACGTCAAACTTTGAAGGAAGACTGAAATGCTATGTTTCACCCTATTTTCTTTATTTTGTGATATTTCCAGGAGATATTTCAAAGAGTTTCCTCGCCCTCCCTTACGATCTCTCCACTGGGAGGTACACAAGTACTGCGAGCCTTCTTTTTCAGGCTGTGTCGACTACTTACGGAAGCGAATACGATTAGTCTCACTGAAGAGAGCAGACGACACTACGGTGGTGATGCAGGAACAGAACTGGACGATGACAAATCACAGCGAGCAGATTAAACAGATAGACGAAGAATGTAAGAAATTGAAAAAAATTGGTAATAATGTAGCGGAACCATTTGAAGGTAAAATTTGTAGAAATATGATTATATGCATGAAAATTAAGAGTGACAAAACTATGCTGCTCTTAGGTCCCATAGAACGTTTCCAGTGGAGAGTCACAGCCAGCTACTACATGTGTTGGTACACTATGCAGCAGGTTCCGGAAATGAAGCACCTCTCTGAACACTGTGATAACTTTGCTGACTGTTTGGACAACGCTCTAGGACCAAATAACAAAGACGTACGCGCGAATGACTCAGACCCTTATGCTTGTGCTCTCTACAGCTTCTGTCCCAATCCATGTTGCCCTATGCGACATCTAACTAAGTATGAGAACTGTTGGAATTCAGCTGAGAACCCATGCTTCATTGGGAACGTTGCTGGCCAAAGGGAATGTGCTGTGAACCGATCCAGTAATACTGAGTTTAGGTTGGTGTCAAGTCAAGGTATAAGAAAAACCAAAACTAATGTGGCATTGATCTTCTTCATATTTACACATACAAATGCTAATCAACACATTAAAATTGTTGTCAGCAGTTGTTAAAATGTTGAAACAAGAGTTGAGAACTCGACATTACAACAAAATATTTTGAGTTGATTCTCTTGTCTAAAGAACAAAAAAAAAGTATTATTTTTCCTACACTGATTGCTAAGGGCTCTATAACCTTCAGAGATTGATTGGTCCAGAATCATTAAAGATATATCAAGAGACTCAAATGTTTTTGGAAATCGTCCTTTCAGGTTTGTAAAATTCCTTAGATCTCTCATAATTCCGACCACACTGATTCATAATTTTCAAATTTGAAAAGTTTCCACAGTTCCGTTTCGGTTTTAGAAGTTTATAAACATAATTCAAAATTTCAAAGTTCATATTCTCAGTGTTTTTTGACTAAAAACTGTTTCATTTTTGGGCTTAAGAGGTCACATAACCTTTAGGAACCGTTTTATGTCATTTTATATATTTTGACTAGAGAAATTAGCTTTAAAAGTTTGTCAAAACGATGTTGCGTTAAACTTATACAGGGTGATCCATTAACGGTATCGAGCGGCTGTATATAGGAAACTAGACGTGCTACGATTATGGGGTAAAAAATCTATTAACAATTACGACCAAAAGAAATTGATTTAAAATATTTTCAAATTTGTAACTTCACCGCTAGGGGGCGCAACTGTTATAGTGTTACAGAAAATTGTCGGTTTTTCGAAATTTCGCTCATATAACCGAAGTTGCAAATACATTTCTTATATACACTGTTAATCCTTTCACAAGTTTTGTTTGAACTTTTTTTCTGTTATTACCATCGTCAGTATGAACGACGCTATCTTGAAATTTTTAAATTGTCATAACTTCTAAAAGCCTTAATCGATTTCAATAAACGATGGTTCATTTTAAAGAACTATTAATAAAATTTATTTTTATGATATAGGAATAAAAATATTATTTTCCTGCGCAACGGTAGACGACGCTAATGAGAAAAGTTTTGTAATTGTCTCCGTTTACTAAAAAAAATTAAATGCAACGATATAGGTCTTTTTCATGGTTTGATAGACCATTTATTATGGAAAATAAAAACACAAACCGGAGGTCGATATCTTTTTTTCTTTTCAAGTTATTGCTAAAACAGTGAGGTTGTGCTAGAACATCCTCCTTTATTTAATTCTCTAAATAACATTGACATAATCCAAGCCAAAATTAAATTGTAAAACTATACCAATCTTGTCCTTAAAAAGAATTATTGCTTTATTTTGAAATTTTTTTGATAACTGCAATGTTTCAGTTTTTTATTAATTCCAAATATCTGAGTAGTTAGTTATAAAGATTATTATTGTTTCCATAACGAAAGAGGCTTTGTCCTATGAAAATAGACAAATAAAAAATTATGTCAAACGATATGTGACAGCTCTTGCTTCGTGCAAAATTAGTGTCATTCGTGTGAGAAAAGTACTTGTGTTCCATATGAAACTCCCAGGTCTCTAACTAATTCCCTTAGACTTATTTGGGGATTTACATAGACACAAACCAACATATTAATAATATTATCTTCCGTTCTTGCACGGCGATGTCTTCTTACAGAATGTAATGGCGTCTGGATAAACGCTCAAATACTTCTCTGGGGTAGCGAATACTACGAGGGTATCGCAAAGCGGATTCTCTTGAAGATATAACGGCATTTTTCAAACATTGAACAGTGAAAATGTTAACAATATTAAAAATATTAAATTGTATAACCTAACAATTATTATCAACAATTATTAACCTTATACCTTTGCTTTTATTAAATAAATAATACTTGTTAATATTTAAAATGTAAATCTTATTCATTCATGTGTCTAGATAAAAAGATCTGTTTACTCCTTATCGTTTAACATGTATTAAAGATGCAGTAAATACTAGGTTAGTGACCGAATAATTTGGTAGATCAAGATTCATTCTCAATAAACCTTTGTGGATCAGGAGTCAGGAGCGGTCCGAAAAGGGGTGTAAATAATGATTAGAAAATATTTTTTTCAGCATAAATATGAATCTAAAATATTTTAATCTCGTATTCGTATTCTACTCATGTTTCTCTATCTTCCTTTAAATTATATAATAATATAAAATATAAATTAATGACATTATAACTTTTCACCCTGTATATGATAATAGGATCAAAGGAAGTCTCTACAACAATAATAAATAAATAAACTCCACACACTTGGATGCTGGATACAAAATTATTAAATAAGTAGCAATGTTTCGATCTTAATTCACACGGTTTTACAAAAAAAAGTTCTTACTCAACTCAAAGGTGTATTGCTGGCGTGATTCAATGCTAATTGGGGCATCTGGGTTTAGATGTCTTTTGTGCACATAGATTTCGGTTATAGTGGGACATTGACATTATTTGATGGGATATTTTAGAAAAAAATATTTGAATTCCAAATGATTTTCAGTAGAGACGGGTTGAATATTCCAGAAGTTGGCAAAACAGATGAATTTGGGTTTCAAGCGATGTTGCCAGTGTTGTGGTATTGTAATAGTTTGTAGAAAAATAATATGAGAAATACTTTTCTCAAATATCCATTTACCTATTATTGCTTAAAAGCTTAAAAAATAACATAATAATTTTAGGCTCTAGTTGATTAGTTTTCTACGAAAACTAATTAAAGTTGAGAATACTGTATGCTACATGTAGGGGGTAATATAAAGTTTAGTATACTATTAAGGAGGTTCGGTACCGAAAAAAAAAATGGTAAGAAAGATTTCAAAATCATTGAAATCTGTTATTAAATATGCCAACTGACTCGTGTAAAAATATCAGATCGATTACCAATATAGTTTTTTTGAAAAATGATGTTAAAAATTATGCTCTTATATACAGGCTCTTATGGGAGTTGGGAAAAAACTTTATTCAAACGTGATTATTGCTCTTAAAAATGGTTAGGATCTGGAAAATAAAATTGTAATTAAACAATTAAATATTACTAAACCTTTTAAAACAATAAAAATATGCACTTATAATGTAATTATTGAGATAATGGAATGAATATATAACGTTTTGACAAATTCGAACAAACATCTGATCCAATGAAAGGAAATATGGCAACACTGTACGCTGTATTTAACGCTTCGACTGACGTGCTATATTTGAATAGCTCTATAAAATTATTGCAATCGAAAACATATGTATAATTAATATTAAATCTCTTTGCAAAACGAACAGTATAGATGTTCTGTCATAATCTTCAATTTGACGTCTCACTATCATACACTAAGCTTCTTGATAGTTATCATATGGATTCTCGGTTTGCACATTTTACATTTTTCTCATCAATCCACATTCTGTTTCATACGCATTTTATATTGCTTTTCAGTTGTGTCTTGGAAGTTCATTCATGTTTACGGAATACGCGCAAAGCACAGTTGACAGTAATGACAGTTGACCCAACTTTTACCACCACGCCATGGCAATGTTGCCAGATTTCATTCACAATTTTACAAGCTCTTAATGAATAAATAGACACTTTTATTCAAATAAAAAGTTAATTGCCGTGCATTAAACACGAAAAATATATGCAAGCTAATACGTGTTAATACGAATTTCATTCGTATATATTATATTTAGTCCGCTCAAATTAGTTTATGTAAAGTTGGTACTACAACGAAATTACCGTGTATAAGCATAGGCTTCCCTCCCGCACCGCCTGCCCCGCAAGAGATGTAACGAATCTCCTTAAGTGAACAAACCTACACTTGACAATAGACAATATTCTGTACATGCACTGATATAATCAAAATGTATCAGCTCAGCGAATTCTCCCCGATTCACCAATAATTATGTTATATGAAATTTTGTAACTATTGCATTTACCATTTACTGTCACAGGGAATTGAAGGTATTACCATCCCTCACCCAAATTGAAACAAACGTCTAAATGAAAACAAATGTTTGCCGATCCCAGTTCCTTGAGTTCTGTATAAATAGATCATAATTATGTCTACAACTATTATGTAGAGTCGGAATGGATGCGGTATTTAATCAAGTAATCAAGATGATACACTTCCGTAATGGTTTCAATCTCAGAAATCTATTCCAGCGCAGATGGTATATTACATTCCTTTAATCAGGAACTGTGGGGCCTCGTTCCTGTGTTAATCCTATAATTCGATGTTAGATATCCACCAAGGAAATAACTCTTGTTCTCTATGAAGGAAATCATGGGTTATTTATTCAATTTCAGGTTCAATGCCCTCGTATAATTTAAGACGTCATTATTAGTATTAAAAGGTGAAGGGTGAACCTGACTTAACACAGACAAAAAAACACTTTTGGAACAGCTAGTTGCACAAGATAGTTACACAAATTGCTTTTTGCGCTGTCGACACACGATTTTCAGCAGTGGCTCCCTTTGTTATCACCATACGCATTAATTAATTTTTGGAAATTTTAGTATGTATACTTGCACTTATTAACAGACACACATTTTTTGCGGTAGATCGCCAATAGTACATGTCTGAGCACCCCTGAGCTATTGCTAAATCTTTAGATACGAGAAATTGTACGTTATACACAGTATTTTTCTAAAGCATTCGATCGGCTTATCCCCGCTCTGTTATCATTGTTTAAGTATTATAATAGAAACAGATATAAGTCTGTGCAGTATCGTGGCATCCAATTAGGTAAATGTTATCGATCTTCAGGCATCCCCAAGGGTCAATTCTGCGACCACTATTGTTTGTTGTTTTTATTAACGGTCTAAACTAAACTAACTACCTTGATACCATTTGCTCTATGCGGACAATCTAAATGTGTTTTTGGAAGTTAAATCTTCTATTGATTGTACTGGGTTACAAATAATCTTGACATATTTGATCTTTCAACATAAGCAGATATAGCTAAAGTTATGTACAGTTAATGTAAATCTACTTTGTTAAATAGAGTTATACCCTTTACTGATCTTGGTGTTACATTTGATACTAAATTACCGTTTGATGAACATCGATTGTTTGGAGTATCATGTTTGCAGTATTCTTTTAGATAAACTGCAATGGGGATACTATAATACTATATCGAGGAAGACCCAGAAATGTCGATTCGGCGCCGATCAGCTGAATTGGGCATCGCCAGAGAGTCAACCCGACTTATTTTGTGGTTGAATTTGGGCCTACTTCCATATACTGACGTAAAAATTGAAACCGGACGACCATATACAACGCCGTGAGTTCGCTAATTGGATGCTAGAAATATTGGTCGGAGATCCGGATTTTGGACAAAAAATAATATTCTTGGACGAGGCCAATTTTTGGCTCAGCTGCTACGTCAACAAGCAAAATTGCCGTTATTGGAGCGAACACAATCCACAAGTGTTCGGCTAAGCATCAATGCATCCACAAAAATTAACTGTTTGGTGCGGTTTATGATACGGCGGCATCATCGGACCTTATTTCTTTCGAAATGAGGAAGGAGACACCGTTACCGTCAATGATCCTCGGTACAGATCGATGTTAACCGACTTTCTATGGCCAGAGCTCGACATCATCGATATATTCGAACTGTGGTTCCAATAAGACTAGCGCTACGTGCTATACAAGCGACTAAGTTGTGAAGGGGAAATTTGGCGACTGGGTCATCTCACGGCGAGCGTTCATCAATTGGCCGCTGTCATGATACGACTTGACACCCCTCGATTATTTTCTCTGGGGCTACGTCAAGTCCTTAGTCTACGCCAACAAGCTAACCACTTTGGACGAGGTCGAGGCCAACATTCGAGACTTTATTGCCGGAATAACACCGCACATATTGGACCGAGTCATCAAAAATGAGACGGGCATCTAAATGATGTTCTATTGCATACATAACGGCATGAATAAAGCCAGAATCAATTTGATATCTCACACCGTTGTTGTTTTATTTAAATTTCTTTTCCTATGGTTCTTATCTGGTCACCTTATAAACTTCACTTGTTTTAATTTTAGTAGTCTTTATTTCATGTAATTATATATTTCTTTCATATTTTTCCAAATCAGATTCATTTGCTCTGAATCAGATGCGTTAGTTTCATAGACTTTGTCATGTTCCTAAACTTAATTCTACGTTCTCTGCGTTAAAATTACACACACCTCTACACAAATTTACTAGTGGCGCTCTTCGCAAAAAAATCATTTGCAATTACAAAAAACATCGACTTAAGATGGACTTGATATTAACGTTATTCAAATCTTTTGTGAACGTTATTTACTTTATTTATTTTATTTTTGTTTGTTATTGTTTTGTACTTAAGTTCTTCTACGTCTATGACTTTATACCCTTTTTTTATTTTAAGATTCCCTTTCGCTAATTCTGTAACTGAGACTTTGACCAGTTGGATATTCCAAACAAATAAATAAATAAATTATTTTTTCTTGATATCTTAAGCACCTACGCCATTGGCTTCGCCCCTAAAGAGCTGCCAAGCCTACTAATTAAAGCGCACAGTTTCGCTTCGGCACAAGCCGTCCAAATTATCGATATGAAAATAAGACGGCGCCTAGCAACAAGTCCCGCGTCTCGATTTTATGAACCCGAACCGCCATAAAACAGGGCCCCGCGCCCTGCGGATTCCAGAGCGCCCCGCTGATATGTAATCAACTAATTTCAGGGATATCATCCTGAATAGGTGGAACGTGACTTGCAGATGTCCACAGGGCTACGAATGGAATTCCCGTTTCGGAATGTGTATCGATGTGGACGAATGTGAGAGGGGAGGACATAATTGCGACCGGAAATTGCATCAGGGATGCCTTAATTTGGCCGGCAGCTTCAGGTGAGTAATGCCGTTTAGATCGACAATACAGGGTGTTTATGAAATAAGTACGTTCCTTGAAAAAGGCGATAAAGGGCATGAAAATAGAAACGTCTATATACCTTTGATATCGAAGCTGCCGCGCGCCTCAGTGCGAAAGTGCTGATGGCGGTTTTGATGATGATTTAAATTTTTTATTCGAGAATGCTGAAATTTATTCATATCTCGTTTAATAGTAACACAAAAATTAAACGAATAAATGAGTTATAATAATAATAATAA